AACTCCAAGACTGCCTTTTAAAGGCTCTTCAGAAGTTGGAGCCAGGTGCCGTGAAGGTTGTGCTAAGGCACTGCTGGGCAGGCCTCTTTCAGAAAGTGTAAAGATTGCATGACAGAAATTCATCTTATCACTTTACCCTGGATTTTGTATTTTCTCCAGCTGTAGAAACTTGATCCCGTTTCTAGAGACTTTTTTGTGTGTGTTTTGTTTTGTTTTGTTTTTCACTTTACAAAGGCATGGAGGGGTGACAGCAGGCACTTTCTGTGCATTAACAACATTGATGCATCAACTGGAAAATGAGAATTCAGTGGATGTTTACCAGGTAGCGAAGATGATAAATTTGATGAGGCCTGGAGTCTTTACAGACATTGTAAGTAATAAGCAAAATGTGTGCTTTTTTTTTTTTCCTATGTGTGGTACTGTTAGCATACTTAGATCTTAGGGCAACATTACTGAACCATTGGTGTCTTAGTTCCTGCATAAGTTAATCAAAACTGTCTTCCAGAGGTGCTGTAGTGGACCTGCTGCTTATTCCAAAACAAAGTATTTCCACTGAAAACCTGTTATGTGGTTATCAAGTGGTCACATGCAAAATGTGCAGAGCTGCCACCACCTTTATAAAATCTGCACTATGTCATGTTTTAATTCAGCAGAAACTCCACGTAGGCCCTGAAGCAGTTACCCTAGTTTTCCATTTCAGGATGGACTTTGATCTTTCATGATCCATTGAATGGTCACTTGACACCATTGTCACTGTGCTTACAGAAAGAAAAAAAGAACATGAAAAGTGTAACAAATAAGAATTTCTAAGTCAGTCTCATACAAATGAAAATTCATCACAGAAGTGAAAACTATGAACCCTGCCCCTTTGGTCATACCACTACAAATCTGACTGCTATAGAGCTACAATGAGTATAATAAGGAGAACGCTTTAAGAATGAAAGGTTAGGGTTAGCATTATCACATTTTTGACAGCAAAACCAGGACATGACACAGGATTGAAAGATGTGTCCACCCCTTGCCCTGCCCAACTCGCCCAGACTGAGGAGCATGGTGGATGGTGAAGTGAAAATGGGAACGCTTCCCACCTCGGCAGCACCGTCAGGACCTTCACTCCTCTTGCCCCAGGAGCCTCCAGCAAATACCTGGGCCCTTTCTCTCAGATTTCCAGTTTCCCATCCTCCTCCTGCAGATTTTCAAATTCGTTGCTCCTTCAACCCGTATCTCTTAGTCCAGCCTAATAGTCCGGACCGCAAACCCCACTCTATTTAGTCTGTCTTACTGCTCCTCACTCCTTCCATCACAGAAGTTCTTTATCCTCATATGGCCATCCTAGAACCCAAAATATTCCTGTGCCCTTTCAGAGCATCTGCTGTTACCTGGTGCAGCACAGCCTTCACCGTGCCCGCTCTCCCAGCACAGACCATCCCGCTCTTTCCTCCGCCCCAGCCCAGGCTGCCGTCTGGCTGCCTTCTGGCACCCCCCGTTCCTCACCACACCCAGCCCAGACCCCTCCGCTTCCTCGAGGCAGTGACATCCTCTGGGAATCTTCCCACAAAATCTCATCTCTCTTCCTGGCAGGGTCTTCAGAAACATAAACAGTAACTGCAAGTACCAAAAAGAAAAAAAAAAAAATGTAAAAAAATCTGCCTGGATAGAATTCAGAGGAGGAGAAAAAGAGAACATATTGAAGGGGGCAAAAAAGCCAACAGACGAACAGTAGCCCTGATCCTGACCCTATTCAGTCAATGGGAACTTTGCAATTGACTTGAAGAAGGATCAGGTTCGGCACATAGTATTTCTTTTAAAATACAACTTTCTCCCCTCCCTGCACTGTGATCCTTAATGTTGTGCTTTACATTGTGTACAGGGGGAGCCGTTAGTCAGAAAATTAGTAAAGCTGCTAAGTAACACAGTACATTGTAGAGCAGGGTACATTAACAGCCTGACACATCAGCTTGCTAATTAATTTTGAGTAACAGTGTTACAAGATAATCTAGTGCTATTATTTCTGACAGCACCCTGACTATATCCTCTTTTCTTCCCCAGGAACAATACCAGTTTCTGTACAAAGCTATTCTCAGCCTTGTCAGCACAAGGCAAGAAGAAAACCCTTCGGCATCTATGGACAGTAACGGCTCAGCTTTACCTGATGGGAATGCAGCTGAAAGTTTAGAATCTTTAGTTTAATTAACACATCACATTAAACACACACATACCTACATCACACCAGTCACACCTGGAGTTTACCATTATTATTTTCAGTTTTATATTTTGGGGGTGGGAGGGGGGGAATCTGTGCAGTCACTATATATATAATCAGTTCCCAACCGTTACGCAGTCAGTCAGTCATTTCTGTTACCTATGACTTTACTGTGGAACTTTTATCATTAACAATGTGTGCCTTTTCTTGAAAGATTTCTTGTAATACGTCGTTATGTCTGGACTAACTTGATTGACTTTTACAGTGTTTCTAAGAATTGAATTGTGGTATGTTTTTTCAGTATTAGTTTTTGATTTATCTGGCTTTACTTTTAACTTAAAATTATCATATTTATAGATGTTAGGGGATTCTAAATTACAAACATGTCATGGGTTTAGTATTTGATTTATTTGCTGTATTTATAACAATTTACATTTGCTAGAAATATAACTTTTAATATAGTAGAATGTAAATAAAATACTGTTCTCTGTAACATTCAACATTTTAAGACTTCAATTAGACATTTAGAATAGTAGTCTGATACTTACTGTAAATACTGCTACTTCTGTAGTGATCCATGGACCAAATTTATATTTATAATTGTAGATTTTTTATATTTTACTACAGAGTCAGTTTTCTAGTTCTGTGTAATTGCCTCGTTAAAATTATGTAGTCCGGTATGTTTTTATTTTAACAAAGTCTTCTGATATACAATTGTGCATCTTAAGCAATTAACCTTCATAGAGCTGCATGTGATTTTAACTTTTTGTGGGAAATATAGAAATCATTTGTTTTGAAATGAGAAGTTTTTATGAGAATAACACCTGTACTTGGCATTGTTAAATTGTTTTTACCTACGGCATTGCAAAAATAAATATAAATATTCCAGTCCATGCTTAGCTGTCCTTCCACACACGGTAAACAGCCGTCACTGTCACGTAGGAGAGCTTTTACTTACAAGACCAAGGCCTCAAGGCTGACCTGGAGATGGTTTCTCTTCCCATGGAATCTGCGAGTTCTGAAGACACTTTTGGAAAACTTTTGTGTTATTTAATCTCTGTTCCACTTCCACCTGTACCCATAGTGTCCACCTTAGCTCCTTTTTTTAGCCTCTCCTTGCACGTCTCCCATTGTGGTCGCCCACAGGCTAATGGGCTATCCCAGAACTCCAAATTGCCTTAATTACCCCTCACAAGACTCCTCCATGCTGGCTTTGCTTCGGATCATTCATTTGGCTGCTGAGCCCTTTGCTGCTTCCTTTGGCAAACCAAAAGCCAAACTCTGGGAAGCAATAAAGCAAGTAATAATCTCTGCAAGAACAAAAGCAAAATGTTTCAACTTGGCCACTCAATTATTTTCTATGACCTTCTGAACTAGCAAGAAAAGATACTGGTGGTACTGACGGTTGCAGCACTGTGGAGGCTGTAGGATCTTTCTTTGAAACGAACACAGGCCATGAGAGTAACTATTGTCTGACTTTTTGGTACATTCAGTTGCTACATAGAAATGTTGAGAGCAGAGAGACTGTTCTGGATGAGAATGCCACAGAAACTAATGGACATTATCAATCACAGACGAAAACTAAGGCTAGGAGAAGACAGACCTGATAGACTCAATTTCCAGGGGAGGTTCAGGTTGGATATTAGGAAGAACTTCTTCACTGTAAGAGTCGTTAGGCATTGGAACAGGCTCCCCAGGGAGGTGGTGGAGTCACCATCCCTGGAGGTGTTCAAAAAACGTTTAGATGTGGCGCTTCGAGACGTGGTTTAGTGGGCATGGGGGCGTTGGGTAGAAGGCTGGTCTTAATGATCTTTGAGGTCTCTTCCAACCATAACGATTCTATGATTCTGTGAGGGCTTGGGGATTTGAGTCAACTGATTCCTAATGCAAGGGTGTGTGAGGGATCTCAGTCTGTCAGCAGATAGATCTAGACCCCTTTGGGAGTGTGGGATTGAGGATAGGCAGAGCTGCAGCAAAGCTAAAACAAATTTAGGTTTAGTGGAATCTAAACAGTGGAAACTTTAAAAACAATTCTCATAACGTTGATACATCAAATGAGTGTGAAGGTGCTAGACCAGGAGACAGAATGGCACAGACTGACAGAATAGCTAGCCATAAAGCAGACTTTCTCCTCCTCTTGTCCTCTTCTCAAAAAAAAAAAATAATTGTCTAGACATACACACAGAGTGGTAGAAACAGGATTCATCCCAGAGGGAATAGGAATAGGACTTAAAGCGGCGGCAGGACAGAGGGCAGTGGTCAGGCACAGGGCACAGAGGGGCAAGGGTACTTAGCTGCACGCAGCCCCTTTTACCCCTCTTCTCGCCATTTTCCCTTGCTTATTCTTTCCCTGTCCACCTTGATCCCTCTGTTTCTCCACCCTGGTCTCTCTGTCTCTTTGCAGATAAACCACCTAATTACCCGACTGCCTTTTCTTCATGGGCCTCAGTTTTGTTACAGACATACCCAAATCTGAAAACGCTGGTGCTGCCACTTGGAGATCGTTTCAGCCGTACGTGGCATTATCAGTCTTGGTGCTCCTGGCCTTGCAAGCTTTTCTTTCCAAAAGATCTCCAGCTGAGGTTGGCCCTCCCTCACATAACTCCCCATTTTTTTAACATGGTTGAATTACACATACACGTTCTTCACAGCTTTCAGGCACAAAGTTGGCGTAGACAAAGAGGTGTAGGGGTTGCTTTTTGAGGAGGGGTGTATCTTCTTTTTCCAAGTGGCCTGAGGGTTCCTTACTGCTTCCTCTAAAGCAGTCGGGTTGACCGGCACCCTCCATTTGCACATCTAGGCTAACGAGGGCAGTGATACATAATCCTCCCTTTCACATTCCAAAAATACAGAAACAATTTTTCCTATCTTAATCTCTAGGGGTGCCCACAGGGAGAGGTTAATTGTGATCTTACGGCTGTTTGCGGACCATATTCCATAATCATCTTAGTCTGTACTTCTGCACTTCACTACATTAGCACACAACAAGAGAAACTATAACGCTCGTGTGCTACTTCTCCAGCCTTTTCTTTAGGAAAACTGGCTTGTAGCCTGACATAACGTCATGCTTTTTATTTTGGTATCTTCTGTTAATGTATTTACAGTTTCATACAGTTGTATTTACGAAGTCTTTTTGAGGCCAATTAACTCGACTATGTTTTTCAAGCCTCTATGGACCAAAAACGAAAAAGGAATCCTCCTTTCTAAAATCCCATCTTGATATAACTGTTCCTTTCAACCTAAATATTTTGCAGACATTTTAAAATGATAATCCAAGGAATCGGCTGTCGTTCAAGGTTTCTTCCAGAGATGTTTGTAATCACATTCATCTTAGCATGCTGACAAGTTATTTAAAACATAAGTGCTTAGGATAATCTCTTTACTCACACATATTGGTTCTGATCTAGAAAAAAATAAGAATCATAAAAAAAAATCTTCTATAATCTTCAACCGTGATGGATTACAGATTTTAATAAATGCGTGTCAGTTCCTCTCTCAGACAAAGGCCATATTCTAATTAATTTTTTTCTTGTAATCCAAGCTACAGACTCAAAAGACCTATAGCCTACCTTTTCAAACTGGGTCAAGTGTGGAAAAGATGTTATGTATCTCCTGCAAGAAGTAGGATATTAATAAACAACATCAGCTTCAGAATTTTTTTTCCCTTACAAAGCCAGAAGTCACGTGTGCCAAGGAACACTTGATTAGGGAGCTTCCTCCCAAGAAATCATAGGTGAGTAGAGAGTTAAAAAAAAAAAAAAATCTTACGTAATTTATTAACATCACCAACGTTTTAGCGATTTAGCGATGGTGGTGTTGAGATTTAATACCTAGGGAAAAGCCTTACAAAAGTCAGCAATAAACAATGAGTAGAAGTCAGACAAACTCATAGCTACCAGTACAAGAGCGGAGTAGTTAAAGACCTTAGTACAGACTTTGAAAACCAGTTGACTAAAGTAGTTAGCAATGTTTTATGACAATGCTTTACCTGGTACAGTTCATCGCCACATCCTAGGATAACGTGTGTAATTTCAGAGGGGTTGAAATTGTCTGTGGTAAATGCTTACTTCAAGATGAATTTAGCGAAGTTAAGCTCGTTTCTCTCTGTAATCGTTCTGAAGCATAAGCAAAGCAGGGCTGGGGAGGAGAGGCGCAATATTGTCTCCTTGGGGTTAAAAACAGAAACGGAGACCCAACTACTACCCTGAGTCTGAGGCATCCTAGCTTACAGTCTTAGTTCTTGCTGCTTCCCTGACCATCCGTTTCTGTTTCACAGGTTTCTGCTTTGCTGGATTATGGACTTTCAAAGGGACAAGAGGGAAGAGAAGTCTCTCTCAGAACACCTGGCCACATTAACTCCAATTCCCTTCTGTTTCCAAATTGCATTCTTTCCTTTCAGAGCCCAAAAAAGTGGGGGAAAAAACCCCTTCTGGCTTACAGAATGAATTCCCTTGTTTCAGGAAAGTCACAAGCTGTACGCTGTAATTTAGTCAGAGTGTATTGGCGGTGGTCTTGATAAATTCTGCTGGACACTCAAAGCTAAATTTCTTTTTTTCTCCCCCTCCTCTTGTTAGTTTTGCAGCGTAATCACAGCCACTGTACCCCAGACTTTTTCCCCTTAAACAGCTACTGTGCCATGAGCTTACGCCCTTTGTCTGGCCATCGCACGTCTGTGCTCCAGTCCCTGAAAGGGATGTAATGCTCATCTACAGAAATGCCGGGGCTGAGAGAGCATGAAACACTGAGGCAAGGAAGGCAGTCTGAGTGTAGTGGGGCTCGAGCACCTCCATCTCAGAAAGAAACCAGCATCTTACCTGTCATGGAGAGCTGGCACTAGAATAAATTCCAAAACAAAAAAATAAGAGACACACAATGACAAACAATCTGTTCCTTGCAGCCTGCTTAAGAGCCCTTCGGCCCAGGCAGTGACAGTAGAAACCAAACCACATAGGCAGTCAAGCAAGGCTCGCAAGCAGAGATAGACCACAGGGAGACACCAAGCTGTCGTTTCTTTCTAGGGCACAGGGAGACATTGTACATCCACTGTTCTGTAGCTTTCCACTCAGCAGTTGTCCTCGTGCCCAGGCACAAAACGTGTGCTAAAAAAATTGCATCTCTTAAGATTATAGTTGAAGATGATGTCTAGGTACAGAGAGATACATATGTGTATGAATATATAGATGGGTGTTAGATGTGGATGCTTAAACAATCCTTGAAGAGTCTCCTCTTGTGAGTCTAGCAAGAAGTATGGAAAGGTATTTCATGTCCAGAGAAGTCCATGTGTAGACACCCTTTCAATATAGTCATCTATGGAAAAAAACAAATCCCATTCATATATATCTCCTTAGACTGTAAAGATGACATAACAACAAAACACAGGATTTCAAATTTATTTTTCAAGCAATCGTGTGTATAAGATACAATTATCTTTCCAATAATAAGCAAAGATAACTGAGAAGTCTAATCTTCATTCAAAAAGCTGAGCAATAAATTCATTTAAGTGTAAAATTAGAAAACAAAAAGCAGCATTGCACTGGGAAACAGAAATGTATTCCGATACAAAATGTTTCAAAAACTGTAGCAGCGTTTCTTGTAGAGAACGCTGTGCGGTGCTCATTCTTTTAGTGCTCCAAAGAGATTCCATACTTGTAAAAAATTTCAATTTTCTTTGCATACTGCATTTCCTAGGCAGAAAAGCAAGCAAGGTGCGTGCATATATACATAGTCACAACCCCATGGTTGTGTATTTGTGGGGTAAATGAAGGAAAAGAGAACTCTCGAGTGAAACCCTGGTCTCACCAAGCACTGGACTGGAAGGCACCAGCAGATACAAGTCTGATTTTAACCCTTCGTTATAGGCCTTTAATCTACCAGGGGAAGGAGGAGGCAGC